GGGAAGCTCCTAACAGTTTCTCACAGAAGCCACCCCTGTAGCCCCCCGCTACCAAACCTTGCCACACAAACCCAATGCATTGTCCTATAAATTTTTTTTCCATCTTTTTATCTTTTTAACTCGTTGAATAGTTGCAATATTTGGACAACAGCGTAGCACATGGAAAAATGAATATAATTTTTTTCATTAAATGTTTATGTAAATCAGACAATAGTACTGCTAGTCTCAGTTTGCAAGATGAATTGTAAAAACCCCAACAAACCAAATCAACCAACCAAAACCCAAAGCAAAATCTAATTCATATGAGGTATAGAACAAGTAGGAGAGAAAAATCCATAGGTCTGTCATTTTCCAGTGCCTTCATCTTCCACTGGCACACTTCAGCAGTGGGCATACCCACAGCTGCACGCACTCTTCTCGTGCTCATATCCCCTGTGTTTGCTGTCAGTCAGAAACTTTCCATGCAGAGTACATCACCTAAACACCTGTGATGACAATCCCAATTCAAGCTTTCGAGTTGCACGTCCATAGCGGAAAGCAGGAAACAGTAAAAATCAAATGAAAAAACATTAAAAGATGAAATTCAGACATGCATGATTTTCTGTTTCTTTCTCAATTCCCATTAGTCATTAAGCTTATAGAGAGATCAAACGTTTTGTCAAACTTGTTGGTTCTTGTTAGTGATGATTTCTTTTACATTCCAGAATTTTCAGGAATTTGACAGTGAAGGAAACGGCATTATGCAGCCAAGGGACTTGAAGAAAGTCTTGTTCAGATTTGGCATTCCAATCACCCCGGAAGAATTTAAGCAGCTTTGGGCAAGGTATGACAACTCTAAATGATTAGCTTTTGCAATAATGTATCTTTTATAGGATTACAGAATCTTTGGTAGTGCAGCGAATGACAATAGATTTCACTGCACAAGAAATCTTTTGTTATGATTGTGACCTCAGATCATGACACTGTGTTACAGGAGGCTATGTCTTATCATACTAAGCTCAAGAATACAATTAGAACCATCAGTTTCCAATAGAGCTTTCTCTTGGCTTCAGTATTACTAATCCCTTTAATTTAACATGCATTTTCTTCTTGGACAGCACCATAGGTCACTGGTTAAATTAACTTGGTTTTAATCAATTTTGTTTATACACGCGAATGCCTACCTTAGTTTGTGATGGGTGAAAGTCAGTTCCAAGTGTCTCTGGTCAGCTGGGAACTGCAGACAAAACTTCCATCGAGGAGCTGTGTGGAGGATCTGCATCACATACCTGTTGGAAGGCAGTGCTACCAGCCTCTCCTTTCCAGAGCGCTAAATTTACTTACAGTAATTTCAACATAAATACAAGTTATTCAGTCAAAAGAAAAATGCTACATACCAAATATATAACAAAAGAAAGTAAGGTAATTTCATGCTGTGTAAAGATGGCAAGTAATATGAAATGTTTTTATAGACAAGTAATTTGTTGTGAAGAGGGGGAAAATACTTGTCTGCCTTCGACAAAGAGGAGCTGTGCTATAAACTGTGTTTGAAATGGCATAGATGTCAGCTGCATGTGACATTAGATAAAAAGCTACCTTCATTACAGGTCTATTTAAAAAAATAATCACTCTCTAACATATAGAACCCGAGTGTATTGCATTTTTGTTTCAAACTGCATTAACTAGATAGTTTTTTCTTAGCACTTATTCATCTCTGAATTATTTTCTACTCCATTAGACTTTACTTTCCATTCTTATTCCTTATGGATGCCGTGGCACATTGAAGAGTTTCCTTTTCATGCAGTTATCTGCTGCACAACTTCACTCCCGTCAGCCACTCCTTTTATAGAATAGCTAAAATCTCTTACGTGCCTGATATGTCTGTAACTTGAATAAAGGAATTAGAGTGAAGCTGAGGCTAAATTAGGCATTACCATGCGTCGGAGCACTGGCAGGGGGAGGAACTGCAGGGGAAAAAGCCTATGGAATGGTTTACACCTAAGAAAATACGAAAAGTGTTTATGAAGCTAAACCTGTGTTTCTGAAGGATGATTGTAATTCTGAGCATCTCAGACTTGTGTGGCCAGTTTGAGACACTTCAGAATGAATTTTTAGGAGCCCCGTTCTCTGCATCTCAAGCCAGACACTGAAATGCAGCAATACTGAGAGCTGGAGAATACTCCTGACAATTTGGTCCTCAGGATAGTATTTTCAGAACCGACTCTGTGATTACAATGCATAAGCCTTATCTTTTGAGTCTCATATAAAGTCACTCATTCTCAGTGTGGTATGGCACCTCTATAAGGAAGGGAAGTCAGTGAGATTTAAGCTGTTAAGTCACTTAAGGACATCTGTAATGCCTTTCTAAGAAGACCACATGAATATTTAAAAAGAACATTTCTTTTTCAAGGTATGATACAGATGCAAAAGGATATCTTACTCACCAAGAATTTTTACAGAAACTGGGGATAGAGTTTGCACCCGCTGACACAGGGCTCAGCAGACACATCATGGGAGACAGCTCTGCACATTTGCAAGCACATTATAATAATCAACAAAAGAAGCATTCAAAGCTGGAAGAGCAGCAGAAACAGCAATCTAAAGCTCTGCATGTAAGAGAAATTAAAAAGCAGATCAAGTAAGTTATTTATGAGCTTAGCACATAACTTTCTATGTTTGTGTTTAGTTTGTTAAGATGACACTGTGTACAATACAAATGTAATTTCACAAAAAAAGAAAAATACCCAACAGAAAAGGAGTCTCAGAAGGTACTGGACCAAGCTTATCCATAGTGTTATTGCCTTGATTTGCTGGAGATAAGCCTAGCTCAGTGTGCACTGTGAGGCTTTTTTTTATAAATATTCTCCATGGCTTATATTACTTATTTTACAGACTTTATGGCAGCATCTATACTGACAAATCAGCATGTCCAGAGACATTCCCAGACTCGGTCATGTGTGCTGCTAGACTGCCAAAACAGTCCTCGTCATGCTTTGGCCTGTGTCAGCTCGTGTTTTCCCTGATCACTCCCAGCACAGTTTGGGAGCAAGAATGCCTCAAGGACCGTTCCTAACAGGCAGTTTGCAGGCAGCTGCTGCCTTTTGGCGGCTAAGAAGGTTCACTAGCAGAGACGTGCCAGCTGGCCTCTGCGCCCGGAGCACTCCCTGGCCGGCTTATTGGTATCGTCTCAGCTTGTGGTTCCAGTCCTAACGCTGCTGTCACCTCAGATCGAGGGAGAAGAGCAAGTGCAGTGTTTGTCACCCTGCAGGTCTCTTCTTCTCAGGCTGCTTTGGGCAACGTAGACTTAAAACTACCTGATTACACTCAACAGGGGCTTTTCTCGCAGCTGGAATGGCTGGGCGTGTAGGAGACAGTGGTCCCATATCCTACCTTGTCCCTTGGACGAGGGCCAAGTAGCAATCACAGTTGGTTTCACATCCCTCTAGTTAAATTGTTAGTAAATGGCTTTGTAGATGCAGCAAAAAACAGCCCTGACAAGGATGGACCCAGGCTCCGTATGACGGAAATAAGCATCTTGTCTCGAAGCAAGAGGAGTCTCTGCCTCAAACAAAATCAACACTCACAGAGTTAATAGGTCATTGCTCCTGAGAAGAGCATTTGACAAACAAATGACAAAATGCTATCCTGGTCAGAGTGGAGTCTAATGATCCATGCTTGCCCTAGTGAGTCAGCAGTGATTAGCCTGCTGCTGCTATAGGATTCCTGCACCTGCCAGCGGATTGAGGCAGCAGGAGAATCCTCTACCCCAGTACAGTGCTGTTAAAACTTTATATTTCTAGGCTGTGGATAGACACCACCTGGATGCTTATCATGTTTTCACTCTTCTCCTGAACCGTTTTTTTTGGGTTTGGTTTTTTTTTTATTTAGGAATGTAAACCCTCAGGAGCAAATAACATGTAAAAATATACCCCCAAGTGCACAGATTTGCTTTCTTTTGTGCTCAGAAAGTGTCTGGAAGTTGTAGGAACTAATAAATTATTATTGATAAGAATGATATTTCCCCATGACATTGTTGGTAAAGGTGATACACTCATAAACAAACAAGAGCAGCCTTGACTTGCAGATAAAGAGGCAGCTTGGGAAATCATTAGACCAAAAAACCCACAAAACACAGAGAGAAGTCTGTAAGCCAAGGCTTTTGCCTTTTTACCCTGCTTTTTTAAATTCTGTTTTTCAGTATCCCGAATAGGCTGAAGGAATCAAGGGCAAAACTGTCCTTTCTTTTCAGCATCACAACTCTCCCACCTGCATTGCAGCTCTCTGGCATAAACTGCACTTATGACACCCACAGGTATCAACGAGCGTTACACCTGTAAAAAATTGCATGATATGCAACAGAGATAGTTAGGCAGCTGCTGTGTTGTAGGCATTGCTTATTACTGTAACTGTCTGATGTGAAACTTAGGCCCTAATTGTCACATACTGGGCTCTTCCGCTCCATTTGTTGTACCAAACAGTTGTCTCTAGTCTTACACTTGGATGAAGACCTCTTTTGGTCAGGAACCTTCTATTTCCTTCCTGTTAGTGCAATGCCAAGTGCAAGGCGGTCCTGTCTCCAATGCTATAAATAAGAAGTAGCTCTGCAAGCAAGGAAGATGCTGTGCTGCAAGCAGAAATTATGCAGTGTGGCTCAAAGATGCAAATACTCATCCTGAAGCAGCTGGAGAGTAATTAAATCAATGGGAAAGACATGCTGGGTAAAAATAAAATAGTCATGATGTGACATGCTGGCAGGTCCACATCATTTAGAATTACTTACTTTTGAGAACCTACCGTAACAAAAACTATGTATAGAGCTATGTATATGGCAACTAGGCACACAAATGCATACATATGAGTGCATCATGATTGCTTAACCATGATTTGGAGGAAAACAGAAATTGGCAGACAGGGAGAAGTATACGTGGATTCAGTTACCCGCTAGCAACCAGAGCCAAGTGTTTCTGGTTGAGGTGGAGCAGCCTTCTAATAGCTGGACATGGAATATTCTGCCCCCTGCACTGGGGCTGTCTCATCCTGGGCAATGACAGAGTTTGATTTCAGTCTGCAGATGGGATTTTTATATCCCTTTCAAAAATTAGGTTCTAATTGTTTGTCAGATTCTGGCTGCTCTTGATTTATATATGTAAGACATCCAGTTCTGTTCTTAATCTTTTGGAATTTCTAGCATCTGCAGCTTCCTTTGGGAATGAGTTCAAAGCTTAATCGCTCGTGGTCTGTAAACATGTGTCTTGTTATCAATTATTGCCACCTTTCAGTTCTCTTCTCATCTCCCCCACTTCCTCACCCGCCTCCTGGCCGGTGGGAGCAGTCCTGTGGTAGCAGTTCCTGTCTGGTTTTCTCTCTCGGAAAGTGCAAGAGGATTTGAATCCAGGCCTCTCAACTCCTCAGATTTCACGTAAGACCCCGGAAAGCCGTAAATGACTCTTAAGCCGTAGTCGTTGTCTGACGGATGAAATCCATCCGCGTGGTGGCTGTGAAGGCAGCGATCCAGCCGAGTGTCAGCCTTCCACTCCAGGACCACGTAAGACAGCTGAGATGCGGAAGCACAGGTGGGCACCATGCCCTTCTACCCTAAAGGTCAGCATAAGGAGATCTGCTCTTGGTCAGGAAAACGGATGCAGTGGCTGCAAAACCTAACCCTGGTAAGCGACATGGGTCTCAGCCCCCACTTCAGTCTCAGTTGGTTGGAAAACTGATTCCTTTCACCTGTCAAATTCGGACTGGGAGGAGGCATGTGCCTGGGGTGTGAATTTGCTGGTTATAGGACCCACTTCAGCAGCACTGGGAGCAGCACCCACTGCCCATTCTGTGATCTTGCCTAAGCCCTCTCATTTCTGTTTGCACACTGGCTGCATCCAGCCTGTGCCCTTCCTTCTGGCTTTCTGCAAGGGCTGTGAACCTCACCCTAACAACTTTGGAGCAGTTTCAGTGCCCTGTGATTACACACTGTGAGGCAGACAAAAGCTCTGGACATCTTACAATTCAAAACATACTGCTGTGCACTTTTTTTTTTTTTTCTCCTTTTGCTTTTGTTGTAACTCACAGGAACAAATCGCCCAAATTAGAAACAGAGACTGAACAGTGGCTCTCCAGCTCTTCAAGAAAAATACAAAACATTTGCAAGAAAATATTATTTTTTGGCAATGTAACTTGATCTATAGTTTTAATCCTCATTTTCTCCATGCACATATTTACTGCTGTGAGTGGAATAATTACTGCTTGGAAATCTTTTATCAGTCCAAAAATGTTGAATGCCTCAATTTTCCAAAAATATGACTCTCAATAACTGTTTTGATTTTACTTCAGCCTTTACTTTCATTGGGAAGATTTAAGTGGAAGATGATAGTGGTGATGAAGAGTGGCACTAAAAGTAACATACAGTTGAAAAGGGTTCCAGAAATTTTCTGCAATGAGGGTACAATGTAGACCGTATCACACCAAAACAATACAACCTTGCAAGATGGAAGGAGCAGTCTTCTGGGGCTGGAGGAGGTCAATCTCTCACTAAAATCACAAACTACCCTTAGGGTGGTCAGCTGGTTTTGGCTTTTAGGCTGCTGTATCCTGCTTCCTAGGTGTGCATCCCTTGGTCTCTTGCTGGACCTCAGCACCCATCCTCCTCCACCATTGCCCCTTTGCAATCACTGTAAAGCCATGGGGTTTAAGCTGCGGCATATCAGAGTAACTCAAAACAAGCAAACCCTCTGTCAGGAGATTTTAGATTTGTGTCTCTGCTGGAAAGTCTGTAGGCTTCTGAACATAATAAAAGTTAAAACTCAGAGATGTAATTAGCAGATGTTGGATCTCTAGGGTCTCATATCTAAGAGGAGGTTGAAGGAGTCTGAGCTGGTTAGTCAGTAATTAGATACATGGAGATTCAAGACAGGAAAGCCAGCCTGAGTGCAATGCAAGTGCACTCTGACTGACGTGCACCCTCTGCAGCACGCTTCTATGCTCTTTCCAGCACACGTCTTTGAGTGTAAACCAAGCACCACATGGTAACAGGAGCAGAATGTGAAAAAGAGGAAGGAATCAACTAGAAAAAAAGAGATTTGAAAGTGAGAGAAAAGGTGATAGCTCTTTAGGGGCTTCTAAACCACACTGGCAATATTGCAGTTTCCTTGAAAAGATTCACATCATGCTTTTGAAACCTATATGCAGTAGCTAGATTAATCATAAGGAAACTCACAACTATTTTCTGGAATATTACAGGAGTAGGAGCTATCAAAGCTTTTAATGGCATGAAACGAAGCCAGGGTGAGAGGGCAGCCCATGCAGCTACAGTTAAGTTAGTTGAAGGAATATTGCACTCCCAAAGAAACTTGAACTTTTGAAAGACACGGGTTTCGTATGAGAATGCAGAAGGAGGAATCCTTTGAAGAATTTTTAGCTGATCTTAAAATAACAGATCAGGCAAGTAGCTATGATGTTTTCAGAAATTCCATTTTAAGGGATCAGATAGCAATTGACATCAAAGATCTCAGGAAGGTCGGATCTAAAAAAAAAAAAAGTCAAGCTAGGATGGTCATAAGGGACAGTATGGAAATACCAGAAGGTGAGCAGGACATGCTGTCTGTCAGGAAAGGAAACTAGGAGAGCTTGGAAGATACCCTTCAGAGCTATCTGCAAGAAGCAGCCAAAGTGAAATATATGAGAATTCAGAGGTTCACGTTATGTTCAGGAGTTTAGAAATTCTGCAGCAGCTGTAAGAAATACAGTTACTTTGTGAGACTTTGCAACTGGAAAAGCAGAAGCAAAAGAAAATACCCTCTATATCCCCAGATCTATGTGATGGTGAACAAACCAACAATACAACAAAACACCACACAGATATTCTATGCAAAAGCTGCACAAGGGGTCTGCAGACTAAGAATAAACACTTCAATTAAAACCTGGTCCTCAGTCAATGTTAGCTCCAAACACACTATAAAAAATCTGGCTCAGGAATCTCTACATATGATGAAAGACTATTGAAACTGAGGGTATCTACCAAGAACCTAATTCCTACTAAAGGATTCTGTCAAATTGAAAAGTGAAGCTAAATACAGCAGTTTAAGTTTATAGACAGAAAGAGCTAATATTTGGTGTAAAATATGCCTAGCCCTGGGCTTGGTTAAAGCAGTGAATCTGATGAAGGAACTATAAACACAGGAGATGAGTACCCAGAAATCTTTTGTGTCAGAGATAAAGTAGACACAGAATATAGAGCTGTATTCTCACATCAGTGTTTGCTGCTAGGAACATTCTTCTAGTTGTGAGAGAGAAGCTCATAAAGGAGCTAGATTATGTAGGAGTAATGGTGGGAAGTTCAAAAATGGAAGAGCCAATTAGCAACAAGAAGATCAAAATACAAGTCACTGAGATTGTCCTTACATCCAATGGGGCTAAGTACATGTTTCAGGACAGACACTGTCCTATAAAGGATACTTTAAGGTAAAAGGACTGCATATGTTTTTACAAACATAAATCAATTTTTACAAAAATTACAAATTCAGATTCTTCTGCTGGATCCAAGCATGACAGGAGTTTAACACTATGCATTTTTAGACCACTGTACAGGAGATTCTGTTTTCAAAGACTTCATTTAGGCTTAAAGTCCATTCTTGTGTTTTCACAGGAAAGCATAGGAAAAGCCAGTCACTTGAAGCAACTGTGGCTACTTGAATAGATACTGAAGATGTCAAGTAGAGAGAAAACCAGTAGGGAATCTGAAAAAAAGTATCCAAGAAGGCCTGAGAAGTAGGATTAGACAGAAATGCAAATATAAGGGCAGAGAAATAACATAAAAGATTAACTGTCAACAAGATAAAACAAAGTCATTACAAATATGCCTGCCACAAAGATAACAAGGGTGTCCAGAGGCCTGTTACCACATGAATGTTACATGAGAGTTCATATCACATCGGCAATCTGTGCAAGTAGCTTTTGAGTTACTACACAAAATGGACATACTGGGCCGTAAATCTGGGAAAAGAATTTCCATATTAAAGACATTAATAAAGACAATTCCTGGCCTTACCTATATTGGCACGAGAAGACAGACAAAGTCTTCAAAAGATGGCTTACAGGCAGTATTATTGAAAAAATAATCAATAGAAATGTGTGACCTGTGTTTCTAGGGCGCTCGTCAACACCATGATTTGAGGCACAACTCTCTGATTGGAAGAAATGTCACATATTTGTTTATCAATCTGTTATGGTCAAAGCTGAGACAAACAACTTTGTAGGCAAAAGAAAGATCAACTTCCAGAATATAAAAACAGGGTGACTTTTTAGTGTAGGTTTTTTTTCAGGTAAAACCATTCAATTTGACAATAAAGTTTAAGTTAAGTTGGAGAAATAACTACTGATCAAAGGCATACTTTCTAGAGCATTCAAGGAGTTTGCTCCTGAAAACACAGAGAATGACATAACACCTTGAAATATAATTTTTTAAAAAATATTATCCTGTTTCTGAAGAAAGCGGGCTAGGTTTGGTGAGGCTGTACAGAAGATGACACAATGCAGAGAGTCATGAAGGTTACCACCTGTTGGGTAGCGAGGGCATTGCATACCAAGCCCATATAACCAATTCAGATTAGAGTTTTCTGTGTTTAGCAGCATACGCTTCAGATGTAATAGCATAGTGATGTAAATGTGTTATGATCTGACGTGCCTCACAGAATACAGGATGCTTACAAGACTGTGGAAAAATGTGAAAGATAAGACTGTATGTTGATTCATCTAAATCTGTTGTAAGTATCTGACTAGGGCATTAACCTCAAATTGCATTTGGATTGAATTTAACATTGGAATATGTTATAGCATACACTAATGCTCTATTTGTTTGGGTATGGAGTCCCAGAAATTTTGTCTAGCAACAGTGCCCTGTTCAGCAGCTCAAACCTGAAATTATTTGTAAGGAATGAAGGATATCCAGATATCCTGAATACAATGGTGAGCTGAGTTAAAACTGTTAAAAGACGGTTCAAGCAAGCTGTGAAACTGACTAGTGATCTGTACTTTCACTGAACTTGAGAAGAATATAATTGAAAAATGGTTTCTTGCCAGCTGAAACTTGGTTAAGCAGCGAGTCCCAGCACTCTCAATTTAGTCCATATAACAGTGGAAGGTACAGTGGGTCTGAAGCACATAATAAATTGCTAACAACCCACCTAAGTCATATCATAATTCAGATTTTTAAAGTAGGTGATGCTGTTTGCATACACAATCGTATTTCCTGGGCCCTGAGGGCTGTGGGGAAATTGCTCTTTGATTATATGAAGTGCAAAGTCCAAAAGGACAAATTCTTAGGAGAAACAATTGGGAAGGAAAATGTATTGTTCTTGTAAAGGCTATACTGAACTTACAGATTCTTGAAAACAAATGGAAAACCAAGGATTCTGCAATACTGCGAGAGGAAAGAGAGCACCAGTAACTGCAGCTGAGATCAGACACCTCTGAGGACATTGATGAGAGTCTGAAAAGACTTATTGAGTATTTCTAAAATACATATGAGATTTAGCATGTCCCATGTTAGCCGTATAACAACTGAGTACACACTTGAGGGACAGGATGCCATCCAGAGGGACCTGGACAAGCTCAAGAAGTAGGCCCATGTGAACTTCATGAGGTTCAACAATGGCAAGTGCAAGGTTCTGCACCTGAGTCAGGGCAACCCCTGGTATGAATACAGGCTGGGGGATGAAGGAATTGAGAGCAGCCCTGAGGAGAAGGACTTGGGGGTACTAGTGGATGAAAAATGTGTGCTTGTAGCCCAGAAAGCCAACCATATTCTGAGCTGCATCAAAAGAAGTGTGACCAGCAGGTCGAGGGAAGCAATTCTCCCCCTCTACTTCACTCTGGTGATACCCCTGGAGTACTGCATCCAGCTCCAGAGCCCTCAGCACAGGAAAGACGTGGAGCTGTTGAAGCGAGTCCAGAGAAGGGCCACAAAAGTGATCAGAGGGCTGGAGCACCTCTCCTGTGAGGACAGGCTGAGAGAGTTGGGGTTGTTCAGCCTGGAGAAGAGAAGGCTCTGAGGAGACCTTATAGCAGCCGTCCAGTAATTAAAGGGGACTTATAAGAAAGATGGGGGCAAACTTTTTAGCAGGGCCTGTTGCAATAGGACAAGGGGTAATGGTTTTAAACTAAGGGAAGGTAGATTTAGAGTAGATAGAAGGAAGAATTTTTTTACAAAGAGGGTGGTGAAACACTGGAACAGGTTGCCCAGGGAGGTGGTAGATGCCCCATCCCTGAAAATATTCAAGGTTGGGTCAGACAGGGCTCTGAACAACCTGATCTAGTTTACAATGTCCCTGCTCACTGCAGGAGGTTTGGACTAGATGACTGTTAAAGGTCCCTTCCAACCCAAACTATTTTATGATTCTATGACCCTGTTCCTACAAAGGAAAAAAATATAAGGTTCGGGTGCTGGCTGACTGACGGTGGCTTAATAAGGAGCAGAGTGAACTGGTCTGAGCTGTTAGATCCACAGACAGACTTGGTGAGAGGCTGAGGCAGTGAACCATGCTTGATTATGTCAGTTACACTGTTGAACTGTGTTATCACCGTAATACGCCTTTTATACTACAAATCCTGACTCTCTAACGAACCCAGCCTCCATGCTCCGTACCCTAGGGCTGTCAGAAAGAGCAATCCCAGAGCTAATGGAGTGCAGCTGTAGGTATTAACCCAGATCCAAACTTGTCGTTTTTGCCATAAGGGTATCATCTTGTAAGTGCCGAATGTACATAGATAATTTAAGTATTCTTGGTAATCTGCATCAAGACGTAATTCACTACTATTTTAACTTGCATTAATCTTAAGAGACTTTGCTAGTTGAGGACATGCAGTAAGGAGAGATGTTTGTGCCTGCCTTGTCCTCTTAAGCCGAAACGCAGAGAGGCTTGTGTTGAATCAAGAGGTAGAGAGGAATATTGCTTGGGTCTCCAAAGTTTGATCAAAAGGTCCCTGATGTCAGTCAAGTATGAGTAACAAAATAAAGTGGGAGGAAGAGTCAAGATTTTGAGGGCTGAATTTGATCGTGTGTAAGAAATGATAAATAGAGATGTTTTAAGGTGCTGATCCAAAGTCCACGTGAGTGAGCAGAAGCTCTGCACTTCTTGCCATGGGCATGGACCAGGCCCTGCGCTACTCCAGGTTTTGCTCAGGTGTTTTTGTTGAAATAATTCTTGTTATGTCAAAGTTTCAGGAGCCTCGAATTGCAGAAAGTATGCTGCCAGATCCTTACCATTTAATATTTTGTAATTCCAATCTGCACAGGCTTTAAAAGAGAGCACTGTTTTGTAGCTGCGGCTCTGAACAGGGAGAGGAACCAGTTAATCGCCCAAGGAGCATTTGTTTGCAATGAGAGGCTTGAGCCACGCAATTCCATGTGCAAATTAAATGGGGTGGGGAGGGGAAGATGTTGGGTTTCAGGTGTATTTCTGAACTATTTGGCAGTCTTTGAATAAATTATATGAACTTACCACACCCAAATAAGTTCAAAAATCTTTCTCTGCCCCTCCAACCCTATTTTGTACATTTGTTTGTATCCTTTTTATCTGATTTAACAAAGGAGCTAAAATAAACATCTGCTGTCTTTCAGGGATAAATTTAGGGATTACTTCCAAGATTTCAGTAAGCTCTTTCATAAAGTGGATAAAAATAGAGATGGCTATGTAACAGTATGTGACCTGCACAGGATACTACAAGAATTCAACTATTACCTTGATCATGACCAGTTCAGTAGTCTTCTAAACAGGTTTGTATGATTATCTCCTAAGCACCTCTTTGGTCACACCCAGCAAAGCCTATAAACTTCTACTTAGTGTTAAGCATGTAAGAAGCTCTGTTAAAACTAATGGAGCTACCCATATGCTGAAAACTGTATATAAGTGAAACATATTTTTAAGTAATGTATTGGTTCTGCAGGTAATGAGAGTGAAATGGCTTCTTATGTAAAAAGGTATGCTTTGAGTATGTGTATTTGTTTGCTAGTTTGGTTTGTTTATTTAATTTCAATTTAATAGAGCAAGTATGTGAAACAGATCCTCTTCAAAATAGAAACAAAATTAAATCGGGTTATAAAATAGCAATAACTTTCAAACAATCCAATGCTGCTGCCATGAAAAACTATGCTTTTAATTCTCTGTGTTAATATGAGTAAGAAGAAAAATCTCTTTTGTAGTGGCTGAAGAACACAAAGGACCTGCTCCGATATTAGGTAGCTGGGGTTCTCTGCCCCAAACAGTCCCCAAAAGATCATTGGTTTTGGTCATGTGTTTTGTGCTCCAGACCCTGCCAGACCAGGCTCTCTTTTTTTTTTTTTTTTTAAATAAAATTCAAAAGTCTTTTCACAGTTCACCTTTAATTGGGTGATCAACTTTTTATGAATTGAAACCGTAATAGGAATTTGCTGCTTGTTTCTTTCTCAAAGACCTCTTGATGATAAACACCTCCATTCATTGTAATTTTGTGCAGATTATTCCTTTCTTGATCCAAAATAGTCTTTTCTAAATAATACAGAGTAGATTAGCATATGCATTTAGTTTTATTACTAAAATTTTAATGCCCACTTGGCAATTTATTTCTCCGCTGAAATGGTGTTGATTATTTCCTTTTCCACACACTGTCTCCAATATTGGAGCCAGCTTGACACGGGTAGTATGTGGGAGTGCTGTGCAGCTGCAAGATGCAAAATCAGGGCTCTTGAATATTTTTTTTCTTACTAGCAGATATGGGGTCTATAGTTAATTTCTTTTCCAGGCTGTTTTATAAAGCTTCCTCTTTGTTTTACTGGCTCTCCCCATTAATTAGACATTCTTGAAACTGGATATTCTGGTGATTGGTAGCTGAGGCATTAGTCCCCAGTGATTTACTGTGGAAACAGATGATAAAACTATGTTACAGTAATTCAGTTTTAAACAAGAAAATCAGGGTTGTGTAGTGGGGCCATCTCCTCTGTCAAGTCTTGGCTTTCTAGGACTTGCCTTGACCATAATTCTAACAAAAAAGCTGGATGCAAGACTAAAAAAGTCCAGCCTTTCCCCTACAGCATAGGAATTGTCTACCTAATACATGTGTGTAAAGAATCTATAGTTCTGATAACTGGCTAGAAAATTATTAAAGTCTATTAAAACCCTCTCCATAGATGGTAACTCTAAGGTCAATCTGGAATAATTTGATGGGAGCCAATGGGTCTGTATCAAAAATGCCCAATGTGTGCTGTAGTCTGGAGGCTGATTGTCTTTCAATGGTAGGAAATTCCATAAACTGACTGCACTGGCTTTGTACTGGGTAAGCGAGAGCAGAGCAGGTCCCTGCTATTGTATCCCTTGTGGTGGTGAACTCTACAGGCTCATTAGACAGGTTTGAAGTCCTTGTTTAAAAGATACCAGGTGTCTTGTCATTAAGTGGTCACAAGGCACAGGACATTAGAGGAAAGTAGTTTTTCATGGAACAGGTTTTTTTTTAATGCTATTCATGTCATCTTAGTTTTTCATGCTAAATAACTTTTATTTTCACATATTTTCTGCATATGTGAGGCTTGCTTTAATTCCAGTCTTTTTATGGTAAAACATCTTTGAATAAAAATTAGTTTGGTAACAAAGTCCTCTGCAAAAAAAAAAAAAAAATCCCCAAATTATATGCAAGAGCTTGTATTTCCCCATGCTGATATTTGATGTAAAAATATATTCACTGTTGTTACCTGGAGCTATCTGTAGTCAGCTCTGTAACCCACTGAATTTCCGATGTGACGGAACATGAAATTCCCCAGTGTCTGTAATCCAGCAGATGTTTCAGCTGACAGACAGAAGTTCAGCAAAGTTGTGAGCGCAGCCTGCAGAGCCTGTGGGCTGGGCTTCCAGGTACAGCCTGACCACAAGTGATCAGAAGAGAAACCCTAACTGGACACAGCTGCTGGGCCAAGTGTGACAGCCCTCTGTGCAGCTCAGTGGACACACCAAAGGAGGGAGGGCCAGTGCCTGAGACACAGTAAGGCTGAGTCCTAGCAAGAACCTGTAAAATAGTTCTCTAGTGGCCCACCAAACCATGCAGAGTGAAGCACAGGTTGAGAGGGAAGGTAAGCTCTTTTATCACAAACGTAAGAAGAAGCATTGTATGGAACCTGGTTTGGTTTCCTCCCATGTGGTAGAGGAATCGTGAGTGAGTATAGACCTGTGCTGGTACATCCAGGAAATGTATCACGGAGTGGTACTGGATGTCCCATCTCATGTCTGGTAACAGCTTCCTGGGCTGCATGTGGCTGTGCTTTTCTCTCAGAATTGTAATGACCACGATGTATTGGGAGGCTTAAGCAGCACTTCAGCATCTGCGAATCAAAGGTATTTTTGTAAAGCAGAAAGTCAAAGGAAAGTACCAGCACGTAGCACAAGGAACATCTCTGCCTCAACAGAGTCTATTAGATTGTGTTTACACTGTGACATGAAAAGGAGATTCAAGGACAAGTTTTGGAGCCTACGTGTCCTCTGGACATATTGGGGATGGTAAGCTCAGCAGTAGGTTGTGATCAAAATACTGTGTTGTGTTTAAAAAGCACAAAATTAATGCTGATGGACTGGAAGGTTGTGCACTTCGGCCCAGGCTAAAGCAGGTCTCTTCTTGAGGATCTCGAGATTGACCTGGATCTGCATCTGAGAGTGTGGTTGCATCTAATTGATTGGATTCATAGAATGATAGAATACCAGGTTGGAAGGGACCTCAAGGATCATCTGGTCCAAACTTTTTTGACAAAAGCTCTGTCTAGACAAAAGCACCATCTAGACAAGATGGCCCAGCACCCTGTCCAGCCAAATCTTAAAAGTGTCCAATGTTGGAGACACCACCACATCCCTGGGGAGAATATTCCAACAGCTGATTGTTCTTATTGTGAAAAATTTTCCTCTAGAGTCCAATCAGCACCTCCCCAGAAGAAACTTGCACCCGTTACCCCTCGGCTTTTCCATGTGACCCCTTGTAAAAAGGGAGTCTCCATCTTCTTTGTAGCAATCCTTTAAGTACTTGCACGTGGTGATGAGGTCACCCCTAAACTTTCTTTTCTCAAGGCTGAGCAAACCCAATTCTCTCAGCCTTTCCTGATGTGGCAGGCTTCCCAGTCCTTTGATCATCCTGGTGGCCCTTCTCCGGACCCTCTCCAGCTTGTCCACATCTTTTTTTGTATAGTGGGGACCAAAACTGAACACATTATTCCAGGTTTGGCCTGACAAGTGATGAGTAGAGTGGGATAATGACTTCTTTATATCTGCTGGTGCTGCTCTTGTTGGTGCAACCCAGCACCCTGTTGGCTTTCTTTGCCGCTGCAGCACACTGTTCATTCACATTGAGCTTGTTGTCCACCAGAACCCCCAGGTCCCTTTCCACAGAGCTGCTCTCCAGCCTGGTGGATCGCAGTCTGTGCTGCACTCCTGGATTATATTTTCCCAGGTGCCAGACTTTACAGTTGTTCCTGTTGAACTTCATAAGGTTCTTGTTAGCCCACTCTTCCAGCCTATCCAGGTCTTCCTGTGGGGTGGCTCTCCCTTCTACTTCCCCACTCAGTTTGGTATCGTCCACAAACTTCATCATGGTGCAGTTGATCCCATCATCCAGATCACTTATGAAGACATTAAACAGTGTTGGGCCCAGTATCAATCCCTGGGGGAACCCCACTTGTGACAGGCTGCCAGTCTGAAAAAGAGCTATTGAGGATTGGTGGCTTAGACCTGAGAAGGAGCTTGGGCTGAAACTAACAGGATTTATACACTGACAGCACAAGCATACCCTGAAGTGCTGCTGCAGTACAAATAATACATCATCATAATTAATCAGTACAGACAACAGTGAGATAATTATTTAAAATCATTGATATCTCATTCTGTGTTTTTCCCTTAGCTTAGGAATCAGCATTCATGACAGCAAGCTCTCTTATTTTGATTTCCTGAGAGCAATTGATGATGGCAGAGCATCTAAATACCAACAGAGACAAAAGCAGGCTGCACCACCTGCAAGCTTTGCAGCACTCAGCTTAGAACAGACCCTAATTAAGATAAAAGAAATAGTTGCATCGTCTTATGATTTACTGTACAAGGTAAGTTTCATGTGGTCATAGCATTTTATTTAATTTCTTTTTTTTTTTTTTTTTTTGCCTGCCTGGCTGGGGACTAACCCAAAGGCTTTCATAACTTTTCTGCTATTAATCGAGTGCTGCCAACAGCCTTGGCCTATGTAGAAATAGCATTTTCTGACAACTGCAGACTTTTAATTGATTGTATTCTAGTAACTCCACAAAACAAGCATATCAAATCAAGCCTAGAGGTTTTCTGACGGAAAGGATTGGAAAGGAAAAAGCAAATAGTAAATTATCAGGACCTTCCTCTCTTCCCCAAGCTCCTTTTCCTCCTACAGTTGTCTGTAAATTGTGTCCCAAGCATGTAAATATCACGTCTTTCAAACAGCTCTGAGTTTCCTAAGCTGAGACTTATTCTATGTAGATATAATGTGCTGCTGCAGGCAGGCATTATGGTTTCATCAGCATGAGATGAAAGGATCATGTAGGAACTGAGAATACAGACATATGGTCAGATATGAGTACATTATAGTGGCTGCAGAAGTCAGCACCGGTCAGCTGGGGCTCTGTGACTATCTCCATTTTATGCTCTTGGCCACTTCTGACTCTGACACAGATAGATAAGGTGCATTAGCTGCTGAGCAGCAAGTTTCCTGGTTTTCCCACCTGTAAAAATAGAAAAATAAAAACAACCACTTCTCCCTAGAATTTTGAAAGCCCTGAATGAAAAAACACTGTACGTTAAGCAGTCTTAGACTAAATCATTCTTGATGCCACAGTAAGATTGTTTTCAAGCATGGGAAAGAATAATCAAAAAGACTTTGAAGGAAACATTCCTATCAAAGAACTGTACAGCCATCTCATCTGCACCTGCAGCTTCAGGTCCAGTTTAAGCTCATGGCTTTAGAGGCAGGCTTATGCCTGCAAAGGTGGTCTCGCTACCCCCGTACCCCCAGCAATACGGTCCACCTGCCCTCTGTCAAAACCAGTACTTGACTTCCTGCCCAATGACCTGGGTCAGGGAACTTTAAAATGACAAAAGCCTGATCAGTTGTGTGTAGTCATGGGAGAGCTGCTGCCTGAACAAGGGAGGGGGGACTAGGAAGACAAGGGGAGTAGAAATTCCCGGTCATCAATGGCTGCATTTCTGAAATCTCAATCTGTGGACTGTGTCCTGCAGTTAAAAATAACACAGGCTTCCAATAAAGATGTCACTAGTGATGTCACTGGTGCAAGCACCCAAAAAAAAGTAGTACCGTGGGAGCTGCTGATTCTTTACAGAAATCTCTTTTCATGCTATTTGGAGACTCCTGTGATGTTTATAAACTTATTGGGGCCACAATGACATTTTTGGCCAAACAGAGTAACTATTGAACAGGATACTGAAATATTTATATAATCACTTTACATTTTTTCATAGTAAGGGGAAAAAAATCCTTCCTATGCTCTGCATTATTGAAATAAGAAATGGATAAATTCAATAGCACAGGTCAGTGTTTGTTAAATTTTAATAGAAGACAATATCTATCCTCTCATCCCTGCGTGTCTTGGGAACGGAGAAGGTCACGGTTTTGTATGCTGAGAGTGTGATTTGAAAATGACTTTTGGCATGAACAAATCATCCATTTAATCTTTTAGGATACCATTTGGTGGTTAATATAACTTCAGAGACCAAGAAATTTTCTCCATGGAGAGCCAGACTTTGTCCACCATGCTATGAAAAAGCAGAACTTTTTCTTATTTCCCTTACGTGAGAAAATAAGGAAGTGCTCCATTTTCTTCTGAGCCATTTTTTGAGTAATAGTTGCTGCCACTTATGTGATGTGGGACTCTAAAGACATAAGCTCATCACAAAATATTTTGTTAAATCGGTAGCTCTGAAAGCACCGTTCCTAGAAAGTTCCTACCTAGTTGAAAAAAAGGGGAAAAAAAATCACATCCTATCCATGACATTTCTACATCTGAATACAGGCCCTTGAAGTTTCATAATGAATAGTTGAAGAGTTCAGGTGCGTCCTCTCTGTCAGTATAAAAATTTCCCATTCATTTTCATGACACTTGGTACAATGCATTCTATATACTCAATGCTTTGTTTTCCCCGTATGACTTTCAGTATGTTAGCAAAGATGAAGCTTTCATATTAAGAAGTTACAGAATCCTCTGTAGTGATCAAAGGATTCCTTTCCAATGTCCTTTGGATGTGGTAGCATTTGTTTTGCCAGTAGACATGGTTCACGTACATGAAAATACACGTTTTTAAACCCATTATTTAGAACAGTTCTAACACTAAAACAAAAATTTCTGTATTATGCCAATATGCTATAGTCTTAGCCAATTAATAGGACTTTAACTTGAAGTTTTGAAAGTTGTAGTATTCATTTACATTTATGGAATCACTGATTTATATGTGCAGCATCATAAATAAAGGGGCAGAATAAAACAAGGGGGCATGGTAAGTTAGTATCAGCCAGGCAGAATGAGAGTGGATATGACCCACAACTTTTCTAGACCTTGGCATTTCTGCCACTCATTTGGACTATTACCTTGCATGTCTTCTGCTGCAACTATGCTCAACCTAATCTGTTTCCTCTGGGAAACCTTTGGAAAACTCCCACAAAGAACAGGTTGGACGTTTTGCGCGAGGGAGGACGAGAAGAGAGCAAGTAAGCCTTGAGCTGGAGCTAATGAGGATGAAGGACTATCGAGTCCTTTAGGGAGCAGAAAACAAACTTGCCCTGTCAGGGACAATTATTGGAGGGAGGGAACAAAAGGTATATTAAATATGGTCAGGTGAGTTTAATTTAAAATATTTTAATTAAAATTATTTAAGGCAGCCCTTAAATATTTTAATTTGTCTCCTCTCTTGTCTTAACTACTACCATTTCTGGAATGTTTGGATATTTGATATGCCTTCTTGCTTTTACTGTAGGTTGTTGTTTATTTCCTTAACTTATATTTACATGTGGTACAGAAATACAGGGTATTTTTGGCTTATTTCGACAATTGCATATCATTTTTGAAAGAAAGGAAAGCTTCAAATTAAGATTCTGAGAAATGTGTTTTGTTTCTTCATGTATGAAACACCCTCAAGTAAAAGGCATATGGGTTTCAGGCATTTCCATGTGAACTCCTAAATGGTTACTAAAAAAGACTTCTCTTTTGGAATGTCTAGGCTGGCTTAAATAATTTGAATTCTTGCTTCTCAGGCATTTTCTCTATTTGATAAAGATGACACTGGAGTGATTAAAGCACTGGAATTTCAACAAGTACTTGACCATTTCTGCTTTAAATTATCAGACAAGCAGTTCAGGCACCTTCTCAAGAACCTTAACCTTTGTGAGGACTTCACAGTAGACTGGAAAGTTTTCCTGAAAAACATAGATGACCTCATAGAGGTAAGAAAAGCTACAATATATTTCTTTAAAATATACAATCTGATGTGTTAGAAATGACTGACTAACTAAGCAAGCAGATTCACATATCTTTCTGTTGATCTCAGTTGAACGCCATGGAAGCCCTTGTCTCCTTATAAACTGCTCTCAGAAATTAAGTCTTGCACTCATGTTTATTTAGGTCTGTACATGTGGCAAGCTGAAAGCGTGACCACGGATACAGCCAGATGGCCTCAATGGGGTGATGTAGGCTGTGGGATATCCAGATATGCCCAATGATCCCTGACCTGTCTAGATGGACTGGTAAGGGCTGGACAGAGGACTGACTGGAGTGGGAAGCCCTCGAGGTCCTTGGTGACAAGCAGTAATAGCAGTGTAGGTGTAGCAGGAAGGTTAAACACAGAGATTAGTCAAGAACAGAGAAAATCTTGACTGCAGTTGTGGACAGAGCCTTCTGATGCATATTCAATGCATGCCGCAACAACTCAAATAAAACTAGAGTTGCTGTTTCTCTGTCACAGAGGTTTGTGTCCATAGTGCCTCACTTGGACTCGTTCACTTGGCGCAGACCACAGGAACAGATCCTTCAGTTCATAATCGCTTTCTTTTATCAGTGCAGCAATCCCTACTGTGTTTGTAAATAACAGGAACATTATCAAAAGGTGTAAGTAAAAGACATCTCTGTCCTATTTTAATGTCACAATCCTTCCCTTTCCTCTGGCTTCTCCCCTCTAAGTCTGCCTTACCCAGCAGGAAGTGGGTATAAGCACATCTGAGGGTGTAGGAGTTCACATGACATTACCTTACAGCTCATTTCTGAACTTGGCTAAGGATGTGAAAGCTGGTTACTAGCTGGATAAAAAACAGTTCTAAAAAAAAAAAAAAAAAGAGAATTAACTTGCATCTTATATTCTAAGAAGTAACTATGTTTCATTTTCAAAAGTATATGCTCAAAGCACAAATAAAATGAGAAAAATAATAATCATCACCCAATGGAAAACCATATAAAAAGCCTACCACTTTATTGCCATGGCGATAATAGATTGTTGTGCTAAACAAATCCGTATAGAGCTATATGGTGATTAAATCTTGTGTCATAAAGTAGAAGCTGGAAAACCAGTGAGATCTGTCTCAGCCTCTTCACATCCCGAGTCAAAGTCTGTCAGGCTTCAAATAATTGCAGGGCTTGAGTGATTCACGAGAGGAGGAGGAGGAGGGACCATAGGTTTCGAATGAAGGAGGACCCATAAACAGCTCCAAACGCTTGTAATGTGTTATAGGCTTTTGTAGCGAGTTAGAGACTTTATCTATGCGTGTCAGTTACCAATAAGCATAGCTTTACCAAAGTGCTTATTATAAGTGTAGCTTTATTCAAAATTTTATAAGGTTGCTTAAATGTATTTTATTCTCTGTAAATTTAGCATTAATATTTATAGTAGTGCAACTGTTACTTTGTCCTTAGTGGCAGGACTACATTTAATTATAGTTATTTAAAAAATAGTTGGGGATTTTTAAATATTTTCAGCTTATTAAAATTAAAATGCAATCTTAACAGATATCATAGATTACATTGTTCTCAAGTGTAAAACAGTGGAATAATTTGTATAGGTTAGAAAATGCCGCATTTCCACCTTTCCTGCTTTTATGCTGGTATAAATTCAGTAACTTTCAACTGAGTCATACCAGCAGAAAGACCAATTGTAGGAAATATAACATAGCTGTCTAATTATTTTAAGAATGTGTTTGTGTGCTGTAATATTGACCCACCAGCAAGCTTTTCCTGTTAACTTTAGAATAGGTAGCTGCTTTTGTTAGGGAAGGTTTTGCTGTAATGTCTTCTCATCCTCAAAGTAGGCGCTAAGCCTCCTTTAACAACTTGACAAGCTGCACAGTTACTGGGATCGAACTCGGCAAGGGTGTACTTTTAACACAAAATCTCTTTAACAGTTGGTCCTCCAAGACCCTGAATACTTTCCACCTCAACTTAGCAAAAAAGTAAGCTACCTCCATATCTTTCAGGAGGTACTCGGTCCATGGCAGGACTGGAGACTGGTTTTTTTCAATATTGTGTGTTCACCTTGAATAATTTTCTGTGCTCTGTTAGGGGTAGAAGGGATAAATCCATCATTAAAATCTCAAATTAATCCACAAGGGAACATTTTTGAAAAGACAAAACAAATACAAACCAGGTTCACAGGGCTGGTTCAGCTTCCAGATGCTCTCAAATCTCATGTTTTCATTTTGGGTTCAACCCAAAATTTCCCACGCCTTTGCAATTTCATCCCACCCTGGGTTCACACGTATTCCTGGGCTCCTGTGCAGGTTCTGAGAGAAGGCCGGTTGTTAAATTATTCACTTCATCCAAACGCACTACAATTTTCACCTGTAAAGTCTGTATCTAAATTAATGAGGTATGCAACTCACTCAGGCACGTTAGGAAAACTGATCATTATGCTATACAATTTGATCATTGAAGTATATTAAAAAGTAACAAGTAAAGTATGCAGCTTGATCATTAAAGTATGGAAAATTTACTGAACTAGTAAAGTATGAGCCTGGGATGACTTTTGTCTCAAATGGCACCTCATAAATAAAACCCACAACCACAAAGGCAAACATTCACAAACCTAAAAGCCATACAGGTTTAAGTTGTATTTTTTCCTTAGAAAACAGCTGAATAAGGGGAGATGAAAAAAAATCTTGCGGAAATTATTTCTAAATGTTTTGTGCGTCACATAGATCTTTTGATAGCTTTGACATATGTTGATGAGCATTACGTTCTGATTGACTATAGAATACGCACTACAGCAGCTGTATATGAGCAGGATGCCACTGAAATACAACTCTGTAGAGCTATACTATACAAAAATAGAGTTAAAGAAATGTAAAGTATTTTAAGCAATATTCAGATAAGAAGGAACCAAGGTTATGGTGCTTAGCTTGGATGTTGCTAACCAACTGCAGAAGAGCTGAGGAAGGAGACAGGAGGATGTTGTCTTAGGTGGGATGCTATTAACCACCAGGGTACTCTCTGAGAACAGCTGTAAAAGTCCAGACCCTGGAGCTGGGAATACGCATCATGAACTTTTCTTGACTGACCTTCCAGTCTTGTGATTAGTAAGGCCAGGGTGGAGCTCTTCTGCATTAAAATAAGTGGCTAATGCAGTCCAGCCTAAGGAAGGCTGCACTTGGGAATCATACCCCCACAAAAGAACATGCACTCGCATGTCCTTCCCCACTGTGAGCTACTTCAGATGTGGAAAGGGAAAAAAGTAAAGAATGTCTTAAAAGCAATAGTTCAGGGCATGCTGATCAGGTCTGGAACGGCAAGGTGTCCATACAGGATCAGCAGAGCTGCACTATAGTGGGGAGTATATGGGGAAAGGAGGGATTATGATCAGGGCCAAACAATTTGTTGTTTAGCCTTTCTGGAGCCGAGAGTGCTGAGTGATTTGCTGCAAGCTTAGTAAAACTTCACCTGTCAAGTCCAGCAGTGAGTAGAAAGACAGCAGGTCAGGCTGAGGAGATGACAGAGAGAAGGGACAGATCATCGCTTGTGCCTGTTCAAGGGCAGAAACTGAGATAACAAGGGGTTTGCTGACATGTGGGTCTTTCAGCTGACAAAGGGGATTACTGGAGTGAGTAGAAACATATTCAGCAAAGTTGTGGGGTTTTGGGGTTGTTTTTTAAAATGTGATTTCATCTAAAATGATGACATTTGGAATTCAGATTGACTTCCAGGACTTCTTTGCAGAAAAATTTGCAGAACATTTGAATATGAAATCAGGCATTTGATTTAGCTTCACCCTGAACTTTGTTTCCACACTAAATTCTCCAATTTTGCTTGTGTTTAGCTTCCTGTTCTGAGTTTCTTTGCAGTCTGTCTCATGCTGCAGAGTGCCTTCTTCACCAGCTGAGTGCTTTTTGTTTTCAGCCAGTTCCATCTAATCAACCTGCCTGCAAAACTGTAGGCTTGTTTGTTCATCCTTGATACTCTTCCTGACAGAGAGCGAGCTTCTCCTTGGACCAGTACCCATCAGAGGATTCCTGCCGGTATAGCAAGTTCACATCGCTTCTTGAAGCCTAGCACTGTGAGAACTGTACCTCCAGGTCCCAGGACTGAGGTCCAGGACTAGTTTCTGCTATTTGCTAGTGAAAAGCATGGGTACATCATCACTGTCTCCGTCTTTGCTGGGCATGTTGCTGGTGGAGCATCTACAGAGCTAAAGCCACTTGCTCTCACATCACATTGCTCTCAGCAGTGGCTGCTACAACCCTTTCCTATAAAATGCAAACAAAACAGCATCCTTGTGATCTTGGAAACTATTCCTAAATCAACAGAGGGGACAGCACTGCCACAGTTTACCAGCTCCATGAGGGCAGCTATGCTGTGACTCCTCAAACGCTGATTTGCTTGCAAATGATGAAATCCAGAGTGCAGCTCTACAGTGTATCTGTTGTGACATATAGTTTTGGAGCTCAAAAAACCCCCCTATGCAATAGAGATGTTGATATCCCTCAGTCTTTCCACAACCTTGCTTCCTAAATTCAGCAGTGTTACTAACCCAGCCCTTGTGCACTGTGTTCAGGTGTGGGGAACTGAAGTTCGTTTTGCTGCC